AGTTCAGGCAGAATTGTATTTGCAGAGAGTAGAAGTCTGAGGGTGAGGGTGTTCTAAAGGAGGCCAACTGGAAGACTTGTCTGTTACAGAATCAAAGACAATGCATGGGAACACACCATGCCAAAGCCAAACCGGCTGAGCTGGTGCTGTCTGCTAAAATATATAGGTTTGTGGTAAGAAAAGCTACCATTATAGCATCAAGTTTTTTTAAATTAAAAGTATCATAAACATGGCAGTTATAATCAGGATTAAGGTTAATGTTTAAGTTATAATTCAGGTTTGGTTGGTGGGTGTCACAAAGCAAAAAGTGTGTCTGTTGCTAAGAAGAGGTGTTCTAGTTTGTGAAATAAAATATCCCATGACTAGAGACAGTAGAGGAGAAAAAGGGATGGGATGGCAAACACAGGTTCCTGGAAATTTATATCAAAATAAGGTATACAAAGAAGGACAGTGTGCATCTCAGTCATCAGTGCTGCTGCAATGGAGGTGTTTTTTCTGCCCTTGATAAATATACCAGGCCTACTATGTGAGAGGTGAAAAGCAGCCTGCACTCTGCTTCCCACGCCAGATGCCTTGACTTGGGGCTCTTTTCCCAGGGAGAAAAAGCACATCTTTTAAGTAATTTTGGAGCATGAGGTATCTTCCAAATTCCAACAAAGTAGCTTATATTTCTAGGTGACCCTGAGACTACTGAAGAAGAAATAAATGAAGGCCATGAAACTTTCTTGAACTTGTGGGAAACCATGAGAAAATCTGACATTATGTTCTCTTCTCTTGGAAGGTAGAAATAAGAAATATCATTTAACTTCTGTTTTGCTGACAAGAACTGTGGTCCTGAGCAAGGCTACCTGGGACAATGACTTCACACATGGAGGTTGGAGCCCATCTGTTTCCAATCTGCTGTTTTCCAAAAATTAGGGAAGTTCAGTTTTCCCTTTGATAACTCTGTTTCTAACAATCCCAATGCCAGGGCTGTCCTGTTTCTACAAGTGACAATGACAAATATAGGCCTGAAGGAAGATGAGCTGATGGCATTCCCAGCTTGCTGTCCTGCTTCTACAGGGGACAATGACAATATAGACCTGAAGGAAGATGAGCTGATGGCATTCCCAGCTTATAACACTCCTTGGGGGCCTTATCTCACATACATGGATTCAATTCATAGACTCAGCTGGGTGAGGATCTGTTATTCAGCTGCATTAGAAGTGACTGCTTAAGACTCAGGTGTGTGGTGAACTGAGGCAGAATTTTCTCAGTGGAGTGTTAGGAGAATTTTCTCCTCATAACTACCATCTTACTATCACTAAATCATAGCTAAAATAAGGAAATTATTCAAGAAGAAATACAAATGTAATCTTAGGACATAAATTTAGAGATTTGTGGAAAGCACTTCATAATTTTATGATATTCTCTTTGAGCTGGGACTGTAGTTGACATTTCATTATAATATATTAGTTACACTAGACTTTATGCATTTATTTAAATTTTTATTATACTTTAAGTTCTGGGATACAGGGGCCGGGTGTGCAGGTTTGTTACCTGGATATAGACATGCCATGGTGGTTTGCTGCACCCATCAACCCGTCATCTACATTAGGTGTTTCTCCTAATGCTATTCCTCCCCCAGCCCCCCAGCCCCAGACAGGCCCCGGTGTGTGATGTTACCCTCCTTGTGGGAGGGGAACGTGTATACACCCATGTGGTGTCATTGTTCAACTCCCACTTATGAGTGAGAACATGTGGTTTTTGGTTTTCTTTTCATTTCCTTTTTTTTTTTTTTTTTTTTTTTTTGATGGAGTTTCACTCTTATTGCCCATGCTGGAGTGCAATGGCACAATCTCAGCTCATTGCAACCTCTGCCTCCCAGGTTCAAGCTATCCTCCTGCCTCAGCCTCCCAAGTAGCTGGGATTACAGGCATGTGCCACCACACCTGGCTAATTTTCTGTATTTTTAGTAGAGACAGGGTTTCTCCATGTTGGTCAGGCTGGTCTCAAACTCCTGACCTCAGGCGATCTGCCCGCTTCAGCCTCTCAGAGTTCTGGGATTACAGGCATGAGCCACTGCACCTGGCCTGGTTTTCTTTTCTTATGTTAATTTGCTGAGAATGATGGTTTCCAGCTTCATCTATGTCCCTGGAAAGGACATAAACTCACCAATTTTTATGGCTGCATAGTATTTCATGGTGTATACTTGCCACATTTTCTAAATCCAGTCTATTATTGATGGGCATTTGGGTTGGTTCCAAGTCTTCGCTATTGTGAACAATGCTGAAATAAACATATGTGTGCATGTGTCTTTATAGTAGAATGATTTATACTCCTTTGAGTATATACCAAGTAATTGGATTGCTGAGTCAAATGGTATTTCTGGTTCTAGATTCTTTAGGAATTGCCACACTGTCTTCCACAATATTTGAACTAATTTAAACTCCCACTAACAGTGTAAAAGCATTCCTATTTTCTACATCTTCTCCAGCATCTATTGTTTCCTGACTTAATAATCACCATTCTAACTGGTATGAGATGGTATCTCATTGTGGTTTTGATATGCATTTCTCTAATGACCAGTGATGATGAGGTTTTTTTTTCCATATGTTTGTTGGCCGCATAAATGTCTTTCTGAGAAGTGTTTGTTCATTTCCTTTTTGATGGGGTTGTTTTTTTCTTGTAAATTTAAGTTCTTGTAGATTCTGGATATTAACCCTTTGTCAGATGGATAGATTGCAAAAATTTTCTCCCATTCTGTAAGTTGCCTTCACTCTGATGAGTTTATTTTGCTGTGCAGAAGCTCTTTAGTTTAACTAGATCCCATTTGTCAATTTTGGCTTTTGTTACCATTGCTTTTGGTGTTTTAGTCATGAAGTCTTTGCCCATGCCTATGTCCTAAATGGTATTGACTAGGTTTTCTTCTAGGGTTTTTATGGTTTTAGGTCTTATGTTTAAGTCTTTAATCCATCTTGACTTAATTTTTGTATAAGGTGTAAGGAAAACATACAGTTTCGGTTTTCTACATATGGCTAGCCAGTTTTCCCAACACGATTTATTAAATAAGGGATCCTTTCCCCATTGCTTGTGTTTGTCAGGTTCGTCATCAGATGGTTGTATGTGTATGATCTTATTTCTGAGTTCTCTATTCTGTTCCATTGGTCTATGTGTCTGTTTATGTACCAGTACCATGCTGTTTTGGTTACTGTAGCCTTATAGTATAGTTTGAAGTTGGGTAGTGTGATGCCTCCAGCTTTGTTCTTTTTGCTTAGAGTTATTTTGGCTATTTGGGCTCTTTTTTAGTTCCATAAGAATTTTAAAATAATTTCTTCTAATTCTCTGAAGAATGTCAATGGTAGTTTAATGGGAATAGCATTGAATTCTTTTACAAATTACTTTTCATGAATTAATTCTTCCTATCCATGAGCATAACTGTTTCATCATTTGTTTGTGTCCTCTCTGATTTCTCTGAGCAGTGGTTTGTAGTCCTCCTTGAAGAGGTCCTTCATTTCTCTTGTTAGCTGTATTCCTAGGTATTTGATTCTCTTTGTAGCAATTGTGAATGAAGTTCATTCATGATTTGGCTCTCTGCTTGCCTTTTGTTGGTATATAGGAATGCTAATGACTTTTGCACATTGATTTTGTATCCTGAGACTTTGCTGAAGTGGTTTATCAGCTTAAGAAGCTTTTGGGCTAAGATGATGGGGTTTTCTAGACACAGGATCATGTAATCTGCAAACAAAGATAATATGACTTCCTCTCTTCCTATTTAAATACCTTTGTTTCTTTTTCCTGCCCAATGGCCCTGGCCAGAAATTTCAATACTATGTTGAATAGGAGTGGCGAGAGAGGCCATCCTTGTCTTGTGCCTGTTTTCAAGGAGAATGCTTCCAGCTTTTGCCCATTCAGTATGATATTGGCTGGGGGTTTGTCATGTATGGCTCTTATTATTTTGAGGTATCATCTTTCAATAGCTAGTTTATTGAGAGTTTTTTTTTTAACGTGAAGGGATGTTGAATTTTATTGAATGCCTTTTCTGTGTCTATTGAGATAATCACACACACAACTTTTGCGTTTAGTTCTGTTTATGTGATGAATTACATTTATAGATTTGCCTATGTTGAACCAATCTTGTATCCCGGGGATGAAGCCATCTTTTTTTTTTTTTTTTTTTTGAGACAGAGTATCACTCAGTCTCCCAGGCTGGGGTACAGTGGTGTGATTTTGGCTCACTGTAAGCTCCACCTCCAGGGTTCATGCCATTCTCCTGCCTCAGCCTCCCCAGTGGCTGGGACTACAGGCGCACTCCACCACGCCCGGCTAATTTTTTTTTTTTTAATTTGTAGTAGAGACGGGGTTTCACCGTGTTAGCCAGGATGGTCTCGATCTCCTTACCTCGTGATCCACCCGTCTCGGCCTCCCAAAGTGCTGGGATTACAAGCGTGAGCCACCGCGCCCTGCCTACCTTTAACATTTTTAAGATTCCTTGAAAGCGTATGTCAAAAATCTCACGTAATGCTTTCTGCTTCTTAACCAAAGTTTAGAGGAACTTAACAATCAAACTCTTAAAATGTAATTATATTAAATAAACTATTCAAAGCAAGAATAGGCACAACAACTTTAACTTCTTAAAAACTGCTTAAGCATCTCAACTAAGAAAATCATTTGTCTTTCAAATACACAGGAATCTGTTTAGAAAAAATTTGACTAGAAAAAGTTGGAATTCTAAAGTAAAAAGTGCATAAGGCCATAAAATTTTTTCAGTTTTCAGCCAGGCGTGGTGTCTCACACCTGTAATCCCAGCACTTTGGGAGGCCAAGGAGGTAGGATCATGAGGTCAGGAGATGAAGACTATCCTGGCCAACATGGTGAAACCCCGTCTCTACCAAAAATACAAAAAACTAGCCCGGTCTGG